TACTCGGTTGGCGTATTCCTTGGTGAACGGCTCCGGCCGTTTCGCGCCCTCAGTTTGCAACTGTGCGTGGGAGGTTCCCTGGGGGCATCTACAAGGTTTCTGGAGGGCTTCGGCTAAGTTCTGGTGAGTAGTTATGACCTTGAATCCCTGTTTCACCAACTTACCAGACGACACACGCAGATTCACATTGCATCCCTTGGTGACTGAGACATACAGCTCATGCCGCTTCTGGAATTGTTGGATTTCGGGGAGTCTCCAGGCTTGTGAGCTTTCGCTCCAAAACCACGTTACATGTATGCCATGTTGAATACAATGTTCCGCAACACACATGGCTCCAATGATCAGCTTGCGTGCTTCACGCTTCTTTTCTTGCAACAGGCTTTCCTGATCATCAGTCCGTGTGTGCATTCTTTGGAGAGGCGAGAAGGCACCACTGGGAGGACTCAACCAAACATTCTGAGGCCGTTCCACTTGGATTCTCTGCAGAACATGTTTCACCCCCGCTCCAGTGGACAAATCCCCACCGTTCCAAGGGCCACATTGGCTTGCAGCCTGCTCGCTATCAGCAGCTCTACGTACCGCTTCAACGAGAGAACTGCTGGGCTCATGTGCAATCTCCATCAAAACGGGCCTCTGGTGACCAGCTAAGGACTGAAACACTTGGGGAACTAAGGTCCAGGCCTTGTGCTGGGCCGAGTGGGCATTAAGCTGTCGACTAGATGATGTAGATTGCGGGGACCCCATAGGAGATTGCCATGGCCTCATTGGAGAATCTGTGCCACTCAGTCGCGCTCCTTCTTCCGGGGGCGCTCCTCGGTCTGTCCACTCTTCAGCTGGGCCACTTCCTCCTTGAGGTCGTGCAGCGTCGTCACCAAGTCGCGGAGGACCGACTCGCTCACCGAAGACGTTGCCGAGCTCGCACTGCTCCGGCCGTGGTAGCCCGATTGACTCTTGGCCTTGGCCTGAGGTTTCTCCTCGGGCGGCTCCACCAGCGTCCACTTGGTAGACTTCTCCTCGATCGGCTGTGCCGCTTCTTGCTCCAGCCACATGGCCAGGCGTCGTAGCTGCACACACGTCTCCTTCTCCTCTTTGGCCGTTGCACGGACCCACGCCACATACTGAGGGTACTCCTCCTTGATTGTCCGGTAGGTCATGGACGCATGGCGGCCGAAACCGACATAGTCTCCGCCGGACACGGCCGTGTGCTCGTAGGCAAACTGCACCGCCTTCACCTTCATCTGCTCGATCGTCATATTCGGCGTGATCTCCTGCATCATCTCCTCCTGAAGAAGCTGCGTGAGCTTGCTCTTCAAGCGGCTCGCGGCATTGATCTGGGCAATCTTGTTCTGCAAGGCCGTCTTGCCCTTTCCGGGGTTCGCTGGTAGCAAGCCGTGCTCGCGCTGTAGTTCCTG